AAAGCTTGACTGACAAACTGGTCTTTCTGACTGTTTCCAATATCCTCGAGAACGAGCTGATACCGATGTTCTCCAAGTACACCATGTAGTCAACAACAATGTTGCTGATGCAGATCTCTATAAGAGCTTCCTCGTTTTTCTCGTCATAGTAGTTAAGGGTGAGGTCTCAGAAACGTTTAACAAAAGCCACCAGATCTTCCCTGTGCTTTTGACGCGTATTGTTGAGTTGAGTTGTCGTGACCCTTTCCTCATGCTGGAAGTACTTTTTTTTTCAGAACTTACTGCCACCTATTCCTAAGTCCATATGGAACTTGGTGCGAGGGTGGTGTACTAAGTATAGGAATGGTCAGTTAGACTTTTCGAGAACTCCTTGAGACAAAGGTTGTAGTTGTCGGCATGAGGACCCAAAATGTGAATGAAATGACATATATGTTCCTTGGGGCTACCCTTCCTTCTGTCAAAGAAAACAAGGTTGAGAGTCTCGTATCCCTTAAAGTATGGCATGTAGAGAACGCTAGTTAGATATTATGGCTTAGAAACATATTTCAATCCTCCAACCTCTTGTGCTGCTCTTTTTATTGCATGACTATGACGTCTTCCTAAGTGACAAAAGATGGTGTTTACTTAGGACTTTTGCCAGTAACAGCAGATGACTCATCATGGGAAGCTTTTTCCTTGAGCGTGCAATCCTTGTCACTGGCTTTCTTGCTTGGCTTCAAGATTGAGTTTTTCAACTTTTTCACAGTTGCAACAATATCTTTTTGGGCTTCACCTAAAGCATGAATGGTTACGATGATGTCCAACATGTCATATTCATCTAGGTTTTCCTAGCTCTCCTGGTGCTACCTTTGTGTTGAGACTCGTCGAGTTGGGAAGCAACCTCGCCTAGGTGTTGCCACTCTTGGTAGTGTTTCTTCTGGATCTTGGTATAATTGAATCAAGATTGTGACCTATTCCCAACATAGTCGCCAATTTATGTTGGGGGACTTTTAGGTCGATGTGGACTTGGGCTTTGAGAATGTCCTCTTGTCTCCCTTGTTGCAGATTCGTACCAAGTCCCGGAATATCTCGAAAGAGTTAGCTTGTCTTAAGAAATACCCCGGTAACATTAACGGCTCGAAGATAACATGATTGATCAAGATAATGACTTGCTCAAGTGAAGCGTGGTGTGGAAGCTAGAAGATTATCGATTTAACATGAAAAAGAAGGGCTTTGCATGGTTGTATGACATTCTTGATTGGATAATCTGGGCTTTCCTAGGGTGATAGTAAGGTTTCTAATGGCTGGGATCTTTAATGGAAGGCTGTGGAAATTACTACGATTGCATAGATAATGATGTTTGAGGCTTGGATAATGTTTATGGGTAAGATGGAACTCTCTGAGCTTATTTCTTGGGTGGTTCTCTCCCTTGTGTTCTTTCTATCTCTCTCTATGTTACCTCCTAATCTTCTATTTGTTGCCTCTAATGGTTTCCCCCTCCTTAGGTAAGTGAAGGGTTATTCTCTAAGCTTTAATGGAATGTCTCTTTATGGCTTGGTCTTCCCTTCTTTTCTCTCTAGCCATCCTATTATTCCCCTTTTGGTGTAAGGTAGTTGCACTGTTGAGACCTGCAGTCTACTTCTTCTCGAGGCGGGGCTTTCCCAGGGTAGCTTTCCGCAAACGCTACTTCTGGTAGCGCACCTCATGGCTTTCGTGCGTTGGTTGTCTGTGCAAGATGGGGAAGGGAAAGTTAGCATTAAATGCCTGACTTGCTATGCTTAACTTGCATTTAATGTAGGAATCTAGTTTAGTCCTAACTAAAAGGGTTGGCTTGCTAGGGAAAAGGGTAAACTAGGCTAGTTATCTCTCAATGTTGCATACGTGAAATGCAAAAGGTATGGACTTGGATCCTTGGGCCCCAAGCAGTCCAAAGTCTTCCATAACCCCGATTCCACGTAGGCCCAATAACCTTTTGGAACCATCCACACCACAATCCACTTAAACAGCCCCGAATATGTGACTTGAGCTTAGCATGAATAGTGACTATCATGAGGAAACATGTGATGAAGAGGCATGAGCACGGCGTAAATATCCGGCTTAATCACTGTGGCATGACATGTTTGTAAATATATTTCTCATCGATCATGAGTCTTCGCATGTGTTTGGGTTTGAATATAGACTTTGCATGGCAATTGGGCCTTAGACTTGATTGGATTGGTGTGTGATATTTTTGGGCCCCAACAAAGAGGAACTCTCACAAAAAAGACATTTGTTGAACACAATTATCTAGTGGGTTTTAATATTCCTTAACCCTCCTAAATTACAAACTCATGAACAAGGATAATAGCTAGAGTGATAAACTGAAACTCATCCGACTGCATCAGGTTTCTCATATATAATACGAACTTGCTGGAACGTTAAACATTTCGTATTAGTTTGGCATTTGTATTAGATTTATCTGACTATCTTGGTAATGAGTTTACCACAGTAACTAATCAAATAACAAATTCGTCTGGTTCGGTTCTATATACCGAAAGTTTTGGTTTAGGTTGGTTTGTTTCGGCTTTTACTACACATTTGTGATTTTTGGCCTTGAAGCTATAACATAAAGTGCTTTTTGTTTGGTGAAATTATACTTGGGCCATGACAATAAACTATTTGCAAGATTCACGTTGGATAGATAGGAAGAGAGGACTAATTTAGGATAATCCCAATCACAAGTGTCCATTAACAAAAGAAAGTCACCAATTAGTGGCTTCTATGTCAATTACCACCAAAACCCCTATTGGTTCCACAACGCAATCACTATCATCTACCTAAGTTTTGAGCTATGCTACTTATTACTACAGTCTAGTGATGTTTCTCTTTATTTGTAAATAGGAGGTTTTAGGTTCGATTATCAACGAAAGCGAATTTGAATCATATTATTGCTAGCCCATTATGAGGCTAGCTCGCTCTTCACTCCCTTAGTGTAAATAATATATTTTATTCAGAAAGATACGAAAAATCTTAATGTACAATTACAACACTTTTTTTTATTGTGCCACTTATGATATACAAGTTTGGTCCACGTACCATTCATGTCAAACTTTTGATTAGGAAATTGCAAAATAAAACAACAGAGTGTCAAGTGAGTTGTCAAGTGACATGGCCTTTTTGTTTGGTTGAGTTTTGTGTCACTTGGATTCATATTCCTAATGAGTGGGATTTTTGAAGCACAACCTTAGACATATATTTCCAAGCCAGGCCACTCAACATGCTATAGGTGTGTTAAGATTTTGACAAGGATAAATTCAAGAGTTTTCGTATTTAAACAATCAAATTCTAGGTTTCTCTGTTATCGCGTAATATGATCTTTATTTTTTTATTTCTCATCACATGATACGGTCTTCTTCTCTTTATTGAGTGAATTTATGCTCACCTAAAAAATGGTAGTGAGCATTACTACGATGATATTCCTCTTCATTTTTATGTGGAATGTCTTAAGTTCAACTTTCATGAATAACGAATTAGATATTAATTTGTATCTCTTACTCATTAATGTAAATACATCATTGAATAAAACAACATATTAAATTATTCAAATACACAAAAAACGTGCTCGCTATGATAGGTAAGAAATATTTATTTTAGGCAATAAGTAGACAATATTTATCCACTCAGAAAGAAATTGAAAGTAATTTGTTTTAGCAACTTCCATCTTAAAGTGTGACGTGATACGGAAAATAAAAAACTACATTTATGTGTTTTTATAATAAAATGAATGGAAGACAGCTCGACACAAAATATGTGCCACACGATTACTTTTTTTTTATCAGTTATTATTATTATTTTGGGAAAAAAATGACGATATTCATTAATAAAGCTTCAACTGAACATTGAAAACAGGTATAAAACACGAATTTCAATATAATTATAAAAATACAAGTAACACTTTACTACAATGGTGATAAGTTGTTAAGTCCTTAAATGAGAGCGTAGGTTCAAACTTCATTGTTAGCTAATATCTTTTTATGTTTTAAAGTAAGTTAGTATAGGATATCGCTTATTAAACCTCGTCGTTAGCTAAGATCTCCATCACTTTTGTTTGAAACCAAATCTTCTACGGCCTTTATGTAGTCTTAATCATTGACTAACACGTATTAAGTTTCCAACAGTATAATTAAGAAAAATTATGTTTATAAATATAATGTCAATTAATGATTGGGTTTACAGAGAAATCACATCTATTTTGAGTGCAGAGGGTTTGATCTCCTTTTGTTTTATGATAATTTAATATAGAATATCACTTATTAAGAAAAAAAAAAACTATGAGTGTAGGACGACGCTCATATAAGAGCACGTGGGACGAAACTCCTTTCCCACCATAGCGGTTGCTGGATTCTAGGGATAGCTATTTTAACCGTTAAACCCGATAACCGTGGATAATCGTCCGAATGGATTAGATTTGGGTATGAAAATTTCGAGTATATTTTGGGTATTGGGAAAAACCGTGAATATTATTCGGTTATGGTTTTGGATATGGTTATAGGGGTCCCCAATTCATATCCGTACCCGAATCCGAACCAAATAATATATAATATAATTATATGTATATATATGTATGTCATTATTCACTGAATCCATGACCTTGAGAAAACAAAAATTGCATTGTGTGAATTGCATTTTGTGGCAAAGTTCAAAAGTTTTGATATGAATCAAAATCTATAAGAATTTAATAGTATTTATTCGAGATATCAAAGATCAACCAACATTATCAATGTTTAGCTTTAATTTTTATATTTCACAAAATCCATTAATTAAATCATTTTATATATCAAATATTTAATGACGAAATTAATATTTACTAAATTACCATGCATAAATTGGAGAAATATATTTTTTGTATTAACGAATATAAATATAACCGTTAACCGATGAAAAATCGGTTATCTAATGAGTATAGTTACTGATAATACCTATGGTTAATTTACGGTTATAAATATAGTTAATTTTTGTGATTATAAATATAGATATAGTATTTCCGTTCGGTTTATCCCTACTGGATTCTGAAAATCTCCCTCTCCTCTGCAAATCTACAAGTAGCAGAGAGAAGGAAGAAGAGAGAGAGGAGGCGAGAAAGAAATGGAAGCAGAGCCATTGATTGTTGTCTCAAGAAAACGTATTCAATCGACCAACCACCTCCTCTCGCGCCGCAACCAGTAACCTCGCTCTCCATGTCTGCCTTCCACGTCTCTCTAATTTTGCAAAACCACTAAAATTAAAATTATATTAAAACCCGAATTGTTCCCTAATTGATCCATTGATTGTGATCTCTCGCATTTTCTTGGTAATTGATGAGTTTGGTGAAGTTATTGAAACCGTCGATTTGTGGCCCCCCGCGGGACATTGAATCTGGACCGTTGGTGGCGGTGGCGCCGTCGTTGTCGGCGGCGAAGCTGGGGGTTTCGAAGATGAAAAAGGCCGGCGCTGCGATTGGATCCAGGCTTTTGCGCCCCATTAAGGCAATGGAGGATCCGACAGTTTCTTTGAGGAATGATTACCCCGCCATTTCTGGTACTGCACTCGCTGCTCCCCTTTAATTTCAAGATTTCTCTGGTTGTTTTTAAATTTAATTTTATTTGATGCCATTGGAAATAAAGTTCTTTGCTTTTGTGAATTACAAATCAAAATTTAACATGTTTAGTAATTTTGTTAACCCTTTTCAAATACAAGGCCTTTGGTAATATTGTGAGAATATATATGATTATGTATGTATGTATGTATGCATGCATACATCTTTGGGTAGAAATGGTAATGGAATGGGGGAGAAAAGTAGACTCTAAAGTTGGATTCCCATGTAAAAAAAAATTCACTTTTTAATTTTTTTTTTCCCACAAAAAAAGAAAACTGGGTTTTGTGTTGGTAAGTAAATGATTGGTTCTGGAGTGGACTCTTTCTTTTTACTCTCTTCTTTGCCACTTTGCTATGTGGTCAACCTCTCTCTGTATCTTTTTCTCCTGTACAAAACATTCATGCTGTTAAATTCTCATCTGTGCTGCCAGCCGCCATTTTCGAGCTCAATTGAAGCATTTCAAGCGATTCCTAGGAGGTTGATGATTCAGTAACCATATAAACCTTGATTCTTTGTTTGCTTGCTTATTTATTTTTCGGTCTAGACGTAATTCAGCTTGCTTATTTTGGAATTCTTGCAGTTTTGGTTATCAGTGGGCCTTGAATTGAACACGATACATTGAATTTCGTACTTGTTTTGAGCCTCAAAGGATGTTCATACCTGTTTGAGGTGTTTTTCTCTTTGTTCATTTTTTTCCCAGTTCTGTAAATGACACTTGATAAGGATCCATCCTTTAGATTATGGAGGCTGTTTGCAGAATTTAGTGATTTTATATATCGTTGAAACTTTAATGAAATTTATTGGCATTAAACTATTGTTCTAGAATGTTGTAAGATTACATACTGTTTTATATGGATGGATTTACGGTTCTAATTTAAACCAACCATCTAATTAGGTAGAAATTTGCACCAGATGTCAACAATGGATAACTCGGCAAACATTGTGTGGCATAAGTGCTCGGTGGAGAAACTTGATAGGCAACAATTGCTTAAGCAGAAAGGCTGTGTCATATGGATTACTGGTCTAAGTGGTTCAGGTTTGTTTCTATTCACTTTTGCTATACCAAATGCTAATTGGCGTCTCAGAAGCAATTTTTGTTATCTGCATATGTCCACAAAGTTTCAGCTCTTTTCTTATATAGTTATTCTTATAAAAAATTTATTATGTTATTTTCATAGTTCTGAAGTTTGTAAGATTTGGCGGTTTTCTGTTGTGCATATTATGGGAATCTGTGACTTGTAGTTAAACTTGCGTAGAAGTAATCATGCTGATATGGTATATAACCCTTCTGGCATTATGCATAATGATACGTACATGAAAGGTGGTGACATCATTTGACCTCAGCCTTCCCTTTCAAAGAAATATGTCAAAAGAGGATAAAGAAAAGGAAATTAACTAGTATGAGTGCATTATGTATCTCGCCCTCTCTCATACACAAACACACGCACGAATACAAACACACACAAACAAGCGCAATGGAATGGAAAGAGATCTCTTATTAGCTAACAATCTCTTTCTGTGTGCTTTCCTTTAGTACCAATATGTGCTGGTTCTTAGTTGTAATATTGCTTATTATACCTTTACTTTTATTTTGATAATATGTAACACATTGGAGTACCCTGTAATTTTAGTTTTAGCTAATAGTTATTAGCCACACAGAACCGAGCACAATGGCGTTCTAGGATTCATATTTAGTGGGAAAAGGCTTTGTTGTTGTTGTTGTTGTAATAGTTATTAGCCATTTCGGAGTGTTTACTGCAGGGGCACAATATAAAGGAAGAACTATTAGAGAAGAAATTTAACACATTAACTTTCTCCACAATTGGAAGACTTTTATGATATAGACATTTTGATACATCTTTATTTACTGCGGTAATTCTTTCTGTTCAATTTGTCACCACATAGTTTACGCAATCTCATAACCAACATTATCATATCTTGGTCTCTGTATTTAGGAAAAAGCACTGTGGCATGTGCTTTGAGTCAAGGCCTGCACATGAGAGGAAAGCTCACCTACATCCTTGATGGTGACAATGTTCGTCATGGTCTAAATCGTGATCTTAGTTTCAAAGCAGAAGATCGTGCAGAAAACATACGAAGAATTGGTGGGTATTTTTGTAGTTAAATTATTGGCTTTTCCCTTTGTTTTCTATTATCTTTTTACTGATTTAATTCTAAAAATAAAAAAGCCGAGGTAGCTAAGCTCTTTGCGGATGCTGGCATCATTTGTATTGCTAGCTTAATATCTCCCTACAGAAAGGACCGAGATGCCTGCCGTGCACTATTTCCCGAAGGAGATTTTATTGAGGTATGTGGTGTCTTCAACATGAGCAATGAATTCAATCCAAAAATATAACTCATTCAATTTGGTTTTATTACCACCAAATGTAACAAAAGACAAGAGGCTCTATCTTGCCAGTGATGACTGATGAACTGATAAAACTCACAATTCTCAGGTGTACATGGATGTGCCACTGCATGTGTGTGAGAATAGGGACCCAAAGGGACTCTACAAGCTTGCACGAGCTGGAAAAATTAAAAGTATTTTCTAGGAATTTGCATTTAAAGCCAATCCAGTACCAAATTATAATTTTGCATTATTTCTTTCCCCATCTTACGTCGAATCCTTGGGATGCGATCATACCAGCTCACATGCATCGGATCTCGTCCGAACTCTGAAGTTAAACGAGTTTGGGCGAGAGTAGTACTAGGGTGGGTGACCTCTTGGGAAGTCCTCGTGTTGCATCCCCCCACAGCTGACCTCACCTAGTGGGAAAAGGCTTTGTTGTGTTGTTGTATTTCTTTCCCCACCCCTGCGAAATCAGTCTTACCAAATAATGAGCTATGAATAATTTCTTTGGCATTCTGCAGGCTTTACAGGGGTTGATGATCCATATGAGCCACCATTAAAGTGCGAGGTACGTAAAATCATGCTTCTGTGTAGGGTAGTATTCCTTTTGCATTTTTCTGAATGAATTAATTACTCATCAGACAAAGAGAAGAATAAAATAAATTAAAAAGAAAGATTATGGTAGTGTGATTGGCTTTGGTGGTGTAGATATATGCGTATGCAGTTCTAAAGATCTGCTTTCCAGTCTGAAAAGAAATTATATCTACGTCCATCTTAGTAGTTGTAACATGTAAGGAATTTTATGTATTGAGCCATCCTGTGGAATCCCAATTTTCTGTGTAGATTCAGAATAGTTGAACGATCCAAATGAAAGTGCGCCGAGGTGTAAAAATTTGGTCTTGACTGGCACCATTTCACTAGACAGCACCTCGCTAAACTTCTATTAATACTGGACCAGGAAACAATGAAATCAAGCTTGTAATTTTCCCTATGTCGTTCATGTCCTGTATTTCCTTGTTTTCAGTTTACTGTTTTCTTAGTTTTTATTGGTCCGATGTTTATATCTAAAACTGGAGTCCAAGTTATTGATTTGCAGATAGTATTGCAGCAGAAGGGTGGGGATTGTGTCTCCCCAGGCGAGATGGCTGAAACCGTGATATCATATTTGGAGGAGAAAGGGTATCTGCAGGCATGATAGAAGAAAGGGGCTGTCGAATTCATTGGTTGGTACCGCTGCTGCCTTTTCCTGCAACATAACATCCTGCAAAGAACATTAGTTTTAGCAATGATTAATTTAAGCGAAGACAGAAGTTATTTTCTCGTTCCCTGCAGCTAGGAAATTGTTCGTTTCCTGCATAATCAAGTTCCTTCCATCGAGTTAATTAATCAATCGATTAATTAACTTATTTGTTTGAAAGCTGCCTTGCGCAACGTGGCTTTCGATCATTCAACTAGTAATAAAGGAGTGGAACCAGGGAAGGAGTTTCATGTTTTCATTGTGTCATCGTGTAATGAAATTGGACGTGTAGAATGGTTTTCGTGTTTGGAAGAAATTTTTTTTTTATGCTGAGGTGTATACCAGCTGAGATATAAACAGAATTATCTTTGCAGTTCAATTCGGCCTCTGAATTGCGTTGTATTTCTGTAGTCCTTTAGATTAGAAAAGAACCTTTAGATTAGAAAAGAACGGCAACAAATCTATTACCAGAAAGAGTGGCAACATTGACAAATTGGATGACATTCTTGGCACGTATGACAATCCAGCTTCTTGACACGTAAAAATGTGGTTTTTCGTTAAAGTGAACAGTACCGGATGTTTTTCGCTAAAGTTCCCTAGTTCAATTCGGGTCAGATTTTCCGAACTTACATGTGCTTTATTTTGACAGAAATTTTCATTGGGTTGGCGTCAAGGATCAATACTCTCTTAATATTTGTGGGGGATTATGACTTCATCTAGTTATGGCTGATTTCTACTTTTTTTTTACTTTTTTATTTTCTTAAAAGTTTTTTGGTTGTTTAACGACTCTGACAAAAAAATGTAAATTGCTGATGAAATGTAACAAAAAATACTGATATAAAAGTGCATACGTGTAACAGAAACCATCTGTCTAATTTAAGTGTCAAATTACAAAAAAAAATTCAACCAATGAATTACAAATAAAAATATATAGTTAAACTATTGTTTGAGTACTCTCGACGATTTCTGGCCCTGCAGCTCGACTGCTTCTAAACCTCGAAAGGAAAGAGCCTAGTTTTCGTACCTCTAGGATTGCAGCGATGCATCCCAAAGTGCCGATGATGGCAATGTAAGCAAATTTCCACTTGTTGGCCGGCTCCAATATGTCAAATCCTTTGAAAATATTGGTGATGCTTAGGACGATTGTTCCATACCCCACAACCCAATGAAACCAGTTCCAATATTTCCTATTCTCGTCTGTCTTCTTCGGCCTCAAACAAAGAGCTACCGCTACTTGAATCGTAGCAAGGACAAACAGAGTGATGCCGATGCATTTATGCCCTTTGTACTGAATCCCTGGAGATTTTGAGCCAAGAAAAATTCCAGTTCCCCACCCTGCAATCCCTCCAAGAAAAGCCAGCATTTGGCATCCTCTATGAGCATGAAACCATGCCGGATCGGCCCCTTCAACCGTCTTGAGATACCTTGCCACGATTATGCCAATGGGCATAAGTATGCCCCAACTGATGGTATTGATAATTCCATGCGCATATTTTAAGGCGGACGTTGAAGTACTTCCCTTGCTTGTTTCAGTTTTCCCGGAAAGAAAATCTAAGGTTCCAAAAGATTGCACATTGGGTCCAGAAAGCGAGTGCATTCCGGGGGTGTTCCCGAACATGGGTCCTTGCTGCCAGACGTGGTGCACAACGCTGACATTGTTCGGAAGGCCTATGGTCGCAAAGATGATGAATTCGTTGTTCTCATAAACCGCGGAGACGTCGTACAAAGGGAAGCTTACATTCCCTTGTTCTAAATGAGTACCGTAACTTTTAATTGGTGAAGAATAAACCGTCATAGTTCCATCGGTTCTTTTGTAAGCGACAATGGCTTGTGAACCGACCATGCCAGTAGATGTAGGGTTTATGGCCCATGCAACCCATCTCGAGTCACTCACCACAGATTGTGTGAATGCAATGTCAACCGTGGCTGTCAACGGATAGTAATTCCAGTGGATCGTCGAGTTCAAAACGGGCAGAGTACTGCATGCGGCGAAGGTTTTCTTGTTGGAGAAGATACGGGTCATGCATGGCGGTTGTGCGGCGGCGGAGGAGACAGTAAACAGTAAGCAAATAACGAAGAGAGACTTGGAAAGTGCCATAATTGTTGTCTTTCGGGTTAGAATTTAGAAGAAAGCAATAGTTGATCGTTTATTGTGGTTCGTTGGCTTCTGCCTATGCCTATATACGTTGCTAATGCAATGATTTCATAATCCTACACGGAGTAGAACTGCTGGTTGCTTGGGAGCCAAGCCTTTTCTATTTTCTAACTAGAAAAGGGAAACCCAATACCAGGTGGTTTCCTATTCAAATTTTTAAATAATATTCATGTTGCTTTTTTCCGCGGCGTGAAAAGATTAGCATAAAATTTAATTTTGTTTTGTATTAAAACAAATTAATTTTGTTTTGTATTAAAACAAATTAATTTTGTTTTGTACTTAGCATTAAGTAAATGTAGTTTTAAATGTGGTTTAACTTGTGTAATTATTAAAGTGCAGGTATTGTTGGTGAGAATGGGTTAAATGGGGGTAAAATGTGGCACACTGCCTCATGAGTTAAAAGGTGAATTTTTTGGCCGTCGCATACATTCTGAATCACTGAAACTGAATATATGATTTATTTTAAGAATTGTTAGACAGCAATTTCCGGTGCGATCTTTCCACCACCAAAGGAAGAATGCCAATGGGACCCAAAGTTGAAATTATTATAGACTAAAAAGTTCTTCAGTCCTCGAACCAGCTGTCTACGATCCAATTTACGGGATTAACATCTATTTGGAGATAGAAAGTTCATCATTCTCAAACTCAATCGACAGACTGATCTGCCTGCTCAACTCTGTTGAGCTACTAACTTGATGCATGATCTTAGCTAGGTGGTTAAACGCAGTTGAGATCATGCATCAATTAGTAGCTAAACAAATAAAGGGTCGGAAAGAGTGCTGCTAGCTCAAACTCGCCAAATTGATCTCATGAATTCTCAGGTAACAAACCATCATGTCTAATTGCCTGCGAATATTTGTCTACATTTGTCTGTCTAGGATTTCTAATATTTGGCAAGTGAAGGACGACAAATCAAAGTGCGTGAAGGCATTTCAACGATTCGATTTAAACTTCATTTCTTTGGCAAAAATTACGAAAGGGCATGTCGGAATTCACCAGTCATCCCATCTCGGAACAAAAGTTGGCAGAAAATTAGCAGTAACTGTGTTATACCACAAACCCAATTGCACTGAAGTCACATCCTACATGTGCCTAAACCCTATTGCCTCATTGGGTGTCTAGGATCGGCTTCAATAGGATAACTCGGTAGATTCAATAACTGTTGAATCAAGAAATGGATGCCCACTTGTTTATTTTGTCCAAGCGTACAAGCGAAGGCAGAAGTTTGCGAGGGATAAATTTTTTTCGTGACTAATCCATCATTCTACCCTCAACTGGTAGTTTTATTCAACTCTTCATTCAATCTAATAAGTTATATAATTCAAACTATCCTAGACACGAAATGACGCCTAAATTCAAACTTTACAAAAAAAAAAAAAAAAAAATTGCTAGGAATTACTTACCTACATGATCAAACACAATCTCAGGGGGAGCATTTTTGAGAAATGTTATTTTCATAAAATTCATTATAAATGTTTGGGTCCAAAATGTTATTTTGGGCCGAACTTAGAGTCATTCTCGGCCCAATAGCATTTTTCTAGAATCTTGTTATGGGCCGTCCAGTTAAGGTCGGCCGAATCTTATTATGAAGAGGCTTGGTTTGGATAAGGGTGAGTTAGTCGAATCCTAATGCAATAAGGAGTCTTAAGGCTAAGGATGCTAAGAATTAGGGGATAAATCTGGATTGTTAAAGAGCTTGGTTCAAAGTCCTATAGGAATTAGGATTGGCTGAGACCTGATCAGATTGGGTTGAAGAGTTATAATCCTAGTCCATTTCTAGCTCGGCCATGAGGGGATTTGCTGCTATAAATAGAAAAAGGAGTGTGTTTATACCATATTTAGGGCCTCGTATATTTGGGCCTTGGGCCTTGTATTTAGGCCTCACACTAAAGCCCATACTTTGTAAAAGAGGAGGAGCCCCTTATTCTATAAAAGGGGACTCCTACCCTCATTCTAAAGGAGGCAAAAGAACCAAGCCTAAGAAGGCTAAGAGAAGCTATCATTACATTCAGGAGAGACCTCACACCACCGAGGCTCTCCTCTCCCTTCCCTTCTTTCTCCTCCGGGGGACTTCCCCCAAACACTTGTATCCATACAATTACAGAGAAACAGAATCAACTACAGTGTGGACGTAGCCCAAACATTGGGGTGAACCACGATACATCTTGTGTCATTTACATTTATTGCAGATTCACGGTCGGATTTACGTTGTAATAAGACCATCCGGTTTTGTGCATCAACATTTGGCGCCGTCTGTGGGAATCGACACGAAAAGTTATGTCGGTTCTCTTTCATTTTTTCACCTTCACCGTGAATCTGCATAAACACCAAACCAAAATCCTAGTCCCATCTCTCTTTCTAGAAGCCCAGAAATGGGTAAGCAGAACAAACACAGACTCTAGTCTCTCTCTCTCTCTCTCTCTCTCAAAATCCCTCTACACCTTCGCCGCCACCACATTTTCGCACCGCCGTCTCCGTTTCCAGCGAAGCCACCCGCCCAGGAGCAGCCCCAAGTTTCCCATTTCACCGCCCGAACTTCTCTTCGGTTTTGCAAGAAGCAGAAAGAAGTATGGTTTTGACAAACTTCATACTGACAGTCGATGGTGTAGGCGCGGTGATTTTTATGATGAGGGGTGATGTGCGACAATTAGCTACCATCTTCACCGTCATTTACAGAGGTTCTTAGCCCTTCCGGATTTACGATACAGTTTGTGATGTTCTGCCATTGAAGCTCCTGCTTCCGAAACGCGAAAACTTGCCCGTCTCCGCCGGCGACAACCATCGTCGATCTAAACGAGAAGTTGCTGGTTCAGTGCGCTACCTACCTCAGCCTTCAGGACCTCTCTAACTTCGTCTAGACCTGCAACTATCTCAAAAATGTCGCATATTCCGACTCCATCTGGCAGCGCTCCTACAGGGAGCGGTGGCCGCGGCGCAACAACAGTCCTCCGCCTGGGTTCTTGCAGATCCGATTTCAGGCAACAACAGGCGGCTTGGCTTCAGACAGCAATTTCTGGTATTTCTGCGATCTAAGAAAAGCAGATCTCGCGAGTTTCGATGGTGGTTGTAGAGGGAAGCAATGGGTTAAATCTTCAAGCTGCAGCGGCGGGTTCGATCTCCAAGACGGCTTCGGTCAATGAGGGGTTGATAGATCAGTTTCGATGCTTGCGGTAGTTTGACAACAGATTGTCGCGCGGTGCAGGAATACAATCCAGTAGGCGTGCGACACAAAACGAGAGAGAAACCGCCTGGTAGAGAGATTCTAGAAACATCTGCAAGAAAGCTCCTTCTCAGTGACGGGACTAAAGTTGCTGTCAAGAACAAAGAAGGAGTGGAGACAGCGCAGGAGCCAGCATTACACAGCACTTGGCCTTACGGATCAAGGACAGAGAATGAGTGGAGAGATAAAGAAAAGCAAATGGGTGGTGTCTGTCCAAGCAACTGTCATTCTAGAGAAAAGCAAAAAAAAAAAAGCAATGGCAATTAAAAGCTTAAAGTCAGATGGTCTCCAAAGGCCAAAGAACATGGGTGGACAGGTATAATTGCGGAAGACCAGAGATAATTGTGAGGGACTCGTGGACGGAAAAGCATAAAGGAAAAGAAAAAGTTAAAGCAAAAGCTTCGCAGCCATCTGCCATTCCACTACCCAACCTTCAATTGTGCAGATATCATCATATTATCCAACCATTTACCATACTCACCTTCTACAACAGTATTTTTGAATGATGTAATTTATTATTTTTCGGAGACATCTGTATAAACCCTATCAGAGAGTAATATGTATAAACCCCATCAGAGGGTAAAAAAAAAAAAAAAAAAAAAAAAAAAAAAAAACGGCAAAGCCCAAAATAAATGGGCTGGAACGTTGTGTGGAGAGCAAAGACCCATAAGCCCAAAATAGCACCAACCTGGTGATCAAAAGTACGCCAAGTACTCCAAATTATACATGAGCATTACTCATGTCATTCATACATAAACATTCATGAGCATCACTCATGATAATCATACATAAACATTCATAACCATCATTCATGTCAACATTCATGAGCATCACTCATGTTAACATTCATGAGCATCACTCATGACAACATCCATGAGCATCACTCATGTCAATTAACATAAACATTCATGAGCATCACTCATGTCAATCAACATAAACATTCATGAGCATCACTCATGTCAATCAGCTTCAAAAGCTTCATTTACAAAGCTCTAGCTTCAAAAGCTTCATTTACAAGAGCTCTAGCTTCCAAAAGACTTCATTTACAGAGCTCTAGCTTCAAAAGCTTCATTTACAAGAGCTCTAGCTTCAAAGACTTCATTTACAGAGCTCTAGCTTCAAAAGCTTCATTTACAAGAGCTCTAGCTTCAAAGACTTCATTTACAGAGCTCTAGCTTCAAAAGCTTCATTTACAAGAGCTCTAGCTTCAAAGACTTCATTTACAGAGCTTTAGATTCAAAAGCTTCATTTACAAAAGCTCTAGCTTTAAAAGCTTCATTTACAGAGCTCTAGCTTCAAAGCTTCACTTGCAAAGCTTCACTTACAAAGCTTCAGTGCAGGGTATACAAATACCGCCTCCGAACAACCGCCACTTCGGCCCATACATGGATTCAATTTGAAGTCTCCAGCCAACAGACTCTATTGACCGAAGACTTGGGGGACTACATTATATACCATATATTGGGCCTCAATTGGGCCTCATGAAAAATATTTGGGGGACTTAGCCCATTATTTATGTATTAAGGAGCGAGCCCTTATTCTATAAAAGGGACTCCCTCACCATCATTAGAGAGCATCAACTCTAGCCCATCATTCATGTATTGAGGAGCGAGCCCTTATTCTATAAAAGGGACTCCCTCACCTTCAACGCCACAAGTTGAGCCAACCAAGGCAACATAAGCTACAAGCAAAGCGGCCTCACAACATGTGCTACTTCTAGTTG